TCTAACCACCCTTCCGTCTAGCCACTCCCGCCCAGTGTCGTTTCGTAGCTTCATTCCTGTCCCTTACGGTTCTCCGAAACACAAACGCATAATCCCCTTTCACAGGCACGCAGCATCTTCCCATTTCCCTTTCCCCGCGAGTGCTTTTTTATTCAGGTAGCATACGCAAAATAGACACAACTCGCACACGCACACGCACACGCACACAATACCACAGAAAGACGAGGAGCACACCAGAAAAAGAAATCCGTAACTAAAGCCAAGGAAAAGCAGGAATCCGGTAACGCCTAGCCAGATGCCATTGGTAAAGCGAAGCAGGAAGCCCTTAAGCCCACACAATCCGTCCTTCCCTCACAAGAGAACCCGTGTCGATTCGTCTGCCCGATCGTACTCGATTCGGTCGGGGGGATGCTGTTTTCGGGAGTGGTGCAGAAGTAGGTGGTCTTCCGCGAGCGGTGAGTAACCTAACTGACAAGGCCCTTCTTGCTCTTTTGTGAGGTCAGCGGCCGGTCATATATATCCAGCCCAGCCCACTCGCAATACCCGTGCAATCCCATATGCTAAATGTTGCGTGCAAAGTCCAGTGCTTGTTGTTCAGAGGTACTCAAACTCAGGACCTGCAACACCTAGACCCGGACATATTTTTGACTCACCAAGTAGTCCCACAGGAGCTTGGTCATCTGATCCGACATCGTATACAGATCAATGGAAAACTCTCCCGCTAAAGAAAGCTGTTAGCTAAAACGCGACCCAGTGTGTGTGGTTACCAATGTCGATCCCATGCATCCCCCAACACAAGGAAAACTGACCGGCCATAAGATCGACACCAGGGGAAGCAGGCGCAAGCTCACCATCGACATCACTCTTGATGTATGTCTCCGCTGTCTTGTTATCATTGATAATCTGGATGACGCGGAGTAGGTCATCCTCGTCAAGCTTCTCAAGTGCCTGGGCAATCTTTTCATAGTCGTACTTCTGGGCACCCTTCTTGCCGGCACCGCCCTTCTTCTTGAGGCGGTCATCGTCTGATGGCAAGGGACCGGTCTCACGCAGAATTTGCTGCAGAGCCTGCGAAGGATTCTTGAATGAAACGGTGTGCTCGGCCTCGTAGCGGTTCTTTGCGAAGTTAAGGTCGTGGCTGAGGGACTGCTTTGACTTTTCCGTGATGTAGCAATCGATCGTCATGTCGAACTCACCCCATCCCTCGTTTTCACATCGGAAAGGGGGCTTGTTGAAGGCTAGGAACGTCTGCGGTCAGCCAACCGCGAAAGGCAAAGGAGCGATCATAGGCAGGGTGTACGAACTTTGGGTCGGGTTGTCGAAGGAAGGGTGAAGGTTGTAGACGACCTTGAGGAAGCAGTCGGCCGGGTGCTCCTCACCATCCTCGCCAATTATGTAGACGTTGATCGACCATTTCCGCATGGGAAAATCCTCGACAGGGGACGGCTTGTCGCTAGAGATGAGAAGACGAAAGGTTAGGCGTTTCTGCTGTAGTAGAAGGGGTGCTTGCAGAGTGAACTTACATGACGTTCTGCTCGGTAACGAGCCTTACTTTCCTCTTGATCTCAATGTTAGCATTGGAGCGACGGGCCATGGCATTTCGGGAGGGAGCCATGGTGGTGGTGACGGTGGTTGGCGACGGTGTAGCCAGAGGGTCCCCATTGTATTTGGGGAGGAAGAAGAAGAAGAGCGGAATGGTATGCCAAGATGGTAAATCGAAGGTGTAAACTGAGTACGCAGTATTCATCGTTGAGGCTGCCTAGGAAGCAATCATCTTTGGCTAGCCGACAGCGCAAACTGTCAACGAGCTTGGTGTTTGGGCAGAGCGGGCTGATGTGGTGATGTCGCAAATCGACGCGACGAAGCGCGCTGATAGGAGGGGGAGGATTGATCGCAGTGTCTTACCTCGACAATCATGATGGGCTGCTATAGTAACGCAGAGTAGGGGTCAAGCAGTGTGTCGAATAACGAGGCGGGGAGGTTTGGATGTGCACTGAGCAAGTGTGTGAAGTTCACCAGTTGGGATTTGGAGGTTTGGGACTGGAAGGCTGAGGGTGACGCTCGGGCCATGCAGACACCTAGGGTGTGGCTGGAAAGCTTGCCGCGTGCAAGCGTGTTGCGTGTTGCGGGGAAGGAAGCAAGGACTTTAATTGAATGGCTGTCTCTCCTGCCTCCATGCATGCTTGTCGTTGCTCAGTGTATCAAATAGCAGACAACGCCTGGTAAAGGCTATTTAATCTGCGGAGTCAACGCAAGCGTCATCTGTCAGGGTGCTGGTAGCGATGGCGCCTAGTAATTTCTATGCATGTTCATACAATATTCATAGCCAAAGGCCGGGTATTGTAGTGTGAAGGGGTATGATTCATCCGCGCGTCTATCTCTCCTATTGGAACGTCTAATCAATATAGAAGGGACTTTATTCTTGTTGATTTGTGCTGTGTAGAGTGTCTTGCTCCTAAGCCTTGATGCTATCCATCCGCGTATCAATGCTCAAAACAAACACCACTCGGTGCAAGTCTTTCTTGCACTCTTCAGCTTCTCCTCACCGAAGTGATCCAGCCTGCCTCGTATCGGGGGGGTGTAAAAACAAGTTTGACAATTGGTGCTAGTTTCGGTGTTGTTGCAGGGGGGCCGTTTCGATGACAGCCCGGCGTGCTGGGCTTTCCGTCCTCACCTTCTCACGGGATTGGGAGGTAGGGATAATTCTAAGACTCTTCGACAGCGGGGGCGGCGGCGGTGGCCTCACCCTCGGCGGCCTTGAAAAGCTCCTCGTTATCCTTCTGAGCCTTGAGGAAAGAGTCCTTGAAGAGGTTGGCGTCTATGTCCCGTTAGCTAACTGATTCACAAGTTGGTCTCCATTAAACGACATGGACTTACTCTCGGAGTTGGCGAAGCGGATGGCCAGGGTAACGGCCTCAGCCTCACCCTCGCTAACATCGGCGGCAGCGTTCCACACCCAGCTGCGGTCGGAACCGACGTTGGGGGACAACTTCATCTCGGGAACGACTAGTCACTGTTAGAATATCGGTGGCACAACGGAGTCTGACGCGACGTACTGTAGTGGTTGGCGCAGACCTTGAGAGTCTTGTCACGGCGCATGACGAGACGGGTCTTGCCGTTCTCCTTGTGCTTGAGCAAACGGACGTCACCAGTGCCGCGCTCCTTCCACTCAGTCGTCTCCTTGACGAACTTGAAAAGCTTGGCGCGCATCTTGAAAAGCTGCTCCTCAGCTTCCTCATTGGTGGTGACGTCGACCTTCTCCGTCAGCTTGATGACGGGCTCGAAGTGAACGTCTTCGGACTCGGGGGCTTCTTCTTCCTGAATCTCAAAGTCAGCAAACAGTCAAACACTCAACGTGCTGCTACACCGAAACAGAGCATATGATATGACGTACCTCGCCGTCCTTCTTCGCGGCATCGCGCTGGGCCTTGGCGCTGCCAGAGTTGTCACCGCGGTCCTCGTCCTCCTTCTTCTCCTTCTTGGCGCCACCTCCGAACATGGAGAAAACGGAAGAAGAGGTCACGGGCTTCTCAGCCTCGCCGGTGGTCTGTAGATGGTATTGTCAGCCATCCGAAAGTAGGAATATAGAGTAGTGGATCGCGAAGCGAGGGAATGGAGAATGCGCATCGCTCCCGCCCGTCTCGAAGGATCCGGGAGATGCGGTGAGCTTTGAAGCAGCTTTGTAGGAAAGCATGTCGTGGGCGGGGGGCGAGTGCGCGTGCGACAAAGGGGGGTCGTACCTCGACGGGCTTGGTCTCCTCGACCTTGGGCTCGGTAGCTTCGGCAGAAGACATATTGATGCGTTTTGCGAAGTAGTGGTTTTGGGTGTAGTATGCCGATGTTCAGATCTGCGGGTGGGAAAGAGGAGAAAAAACGTTAGCTCGCGGACTCTGCATTACGACCAAATCTGCCCCTCATTGAGACGAGATGGGCGCGGCGACATGCTCGTCATCAAGACCGACAGGAAGCGGACTGCGGGGAGCAAGACCAGAAGAATAAGACTTACCAGGGTTAGCAGCGGTATGTTCTGCAGTGAGGGAGGGATCGGAGAGTGGAAAGCAAAAGATGATTATGTTTCTTCGCTCGAGGTGAAGTTGGGAGTGGGTTGGACAAAATCAGGAAAGAGCCCCTCATTCAAAAGTCAACAACAAGAGGGCAGGAGGGGTGTCGGGCGGGCCTGGCCCTTGCTGTTAGGTGCCCAGGCAGTGGTCATCCTGCCTTCGGCAAGTACCCCTCCACTCAAATATTGCTGAACTATACATACAGTCGCTGCTCCTGACTCTGTGGGGATGCACCTAAGCCAAAGCCCAAGTTGGATTCGCGCAGCCAATCACCAAGCCCGCTCGCTGCCTTTGCCACTGGGGACCGGGAGTCCCTGATTTGGAGATGAGGATTTTGACGCTATCTTGATCATCGCCCGGCCTTATCCGCACTATTGAACTGAATAGTTTTACCAGATGATTAACAGATACATCCGTTTGCTAGGAAGCCTAAGACACTCTCACTTTGGAATGGCCACATTTGTCCCCAGGTGTAAGCTCTCAGACGAGCGCGCTGCTGTCAGGTAGGAAACTTTTACAAGAACTACTCAACTTGGGACCAAGTTTGGACGACGGACACCAGCACACGGCATCTCCAGGCACAGTTAGTGGAAGTAAGGGAGGCAGTTTTGCGACACTACTTGGAGAATCATTGCAGAAGCCTGCTCGTAATCTATCGTTTCTGTCCGTTCATTCATAAAGAAGACTGTAGCCGCCTCAAAGCGACTAAAAACTCGAGAACTCGGCGGTGCTTCCCCTCGCCTGCCTCACTTCGCATCTGTGAATAATATTGGGGGATGAGTGGGGAAAGCGATGTGAATAACTAAACATTGAAGGGCGAATGAAGCAAAAAAAGATGAGACAGCCATTACGAAATCCATACCGATAACTCCAGTTCCGTCCTGTCCTTGTCCCTAACCAGCCTCCAAGGTATCTCCACACTTGCATGTAAAATCAGATTCAACCTTGCTGTCTGCACTGCTGCGTCCATCTAGAAAAGCCGGTGCCCGTTTGGCATCTAGCCGCTAGGCGCTCTCTCTTCCGACGAGCACGCATCTCCTTCTTCTCCTTGTCCAGGCGTTGCTTGGTAAACTCGGACGCCGTTGACCTCAGCTGTTCCATGTGCTTCTTGGCCTTGTCCAGGTAGATCTTGTGTTCTTCCGTCTTTTGCAGGACCTTCAACGCTAGTAGGCGAGATTGAAGTTGTGCCTTCGTGAAGACAATGTTCGCTCGGTCCTTGAACTCTTGCAACCGATGCGACGTTGTCAAGCTTTGGATGTTCTCAGAGAGTTCTGTAGATCCCTTGACGAGGGCATTCGCAGTGTTCGCAGCCTTCGCGGTGATGCGGGTAGACAATCCTCTGGCGTCCGCTACGACGGAGTCCAAGCTCAAGAAGTTGAAGCTTGAGAGATTGAAGGCTCGTTCCTCTGCCTGATGTGCGACACTGTTTGCTGTATCAAGGACATGGGAAGCAACAGCCTTGCCATATCCAAGATAACGCTCGAGGATGGTCTTTCCAAAATCGACCTCAAAGGTCTCGTTGACCTTGGGCTTCCGGGTCGTGTTGACGGCAATGGTGAGAATACCATGGGCTTCTGACTTTGGAATCTCAATCAAGATTCCCTCGTCAGTCGAAGAGAATCTAGTCTTAATCGGCCTCTCGCCCTTGAGGACATCAATGGTGATCGAATCCTTGGCAAGCCACGAGGTTTTCGTGCCGGAGGGAATCTTGATCAGAATCTCGTTGCGGCTGACCTTCTCCGCCGCGCAGACGTAGGTTTTGTCGGGAAATTTATCTGCAATGAAGTCGGCAAGCTCTGCGAACGGTGCAACGGCCGTGTTGCTAGTCGCCGACGCCTTTTGTGCCACCCGGATCGTTGTGGCTGATAGTTTGATTGTCGAAGTCGAAGTCGACAGAATTGTCGAGGTCAAGGGTGACAGTGAACTGGCTGTGGTAGAAGAGACTGTGGAAAGTGCTGGTGTGTTTGAACCTCCTGCTAAGAAGTAGTTGGAAAGCAGTGCAGTGGCGATGACGCTCAACATGAGAAATGCGGTTTGGCCCATGACCCACAGGTCGATATCTTCGATGGCTTCGACAGTGCGATGCCAGGCATGACGCAAAGTCTTGCTCATGCGAGTAGAGCCGCACTTGCTCTTCTTCCCATCCGCATGATCATATAAGCCAGTGAGGTACGCCAAGTTACGGTTCATCTGGCGCGCATCGATATTGAGGAATGAGGTCAGGTCGATTGGGAACCTAATAGAAGGCGTGGCCCGATCAGACGACTCCACACAGATGTGGATGGCATGCTGGTTGATCACATCATCCCACATTGCAGTAGGTTGGTGGAAGACTTCGTTGTTGGAGATAAAGATGCAAGGCACAGCATGTCGCTGCATGAAGTGCCAAGCAGCACTGCGCGTTTCCTGGGCAGCGTTATCGTCATTCTCTGTGACGTAGAAGATGGCGACATGGGGCAATGTCCAGGAGGGCTCGATGATAGAACCGCTGGGAGCAAAAGCGGACTGGAAAGTCCGATCGCCGTCCAAGGTGATGTGATATACCGTCTCGCCCAGGAAGCGTTCACCTTGGTAGACAACCTCCTTCGCAGCCGTGCAGTTTTCGACCTTGATTTGGTATTGGGAAGTCTTCATCAACTCGACTTCGGGGACCTTGGGAGAGCCAAGAGATGAAATAGGCACGACGTTGTAGATAACAGCATCTTCACTGATGCCGCACCCATCCGCCGACGCCGACGCCGTGAAAGCCGAGGAAATCTTGTATATGATATCATGTCTGGCTGCATGGCTGCCCGTGTACATGATTCGGAGAGGTTCCTTCGTCGCCAGACAGTGTGACGCCATGGTCTGACGAACTGCTGCAATGAGACGCTTATTCTGGTCTGTGAAGTTGAGAGTCTTGGCGATGGAGTTTGACTGCTCCTCGGTAAAGCTGTGAATGGTATGTTTGACTGACACCTGCTTGAAGTAGACTGGGTCTTGCGTCTCGTCAAATTCGATGGACTGGACCAGTGGGGTATGCTGGCTGATATCCATAGAGCTGTCGACTCCCAAGGGCGGTGTGGCGACGCGGGAAGATGGGTTGAGGAGGCTCTGCTCTGCGTATTGAATAGACGACGCTCGAGACCTGTCCTGCGCAGCATCCTCTGAGTCCTGCGAATCCGTATCGGAATGGTTTGCCATGTCTTCTGTTTGCTCAGTGCCAGCGAGGCTATGAACATCATCGGGCCGGGCGTAGTCGAAAGAGCTCAGAGACTCGGCCTCGGTGCCACGACCATCCTGGCTCTCGTCATCCGTATTGATGAATTCGTATGTGCTTTCGGACAGGGCCGTGGCTTCCTCGGGTGCTTCTGAGGGAGTCATTATGTCGGGTTCGCTGGAGGAAATCCAGCTGGCCAGCTGTCGGTTTCCTTGTGGTCGGGGGAACCTCAAAGTCAGCTCGGAAGATGACAAGGTTGTAGACGCTGCCGGGCTGTGGGTGGATGTGTCGATGTCTGTGGTACTGTCGGCGCTATGCTGCTCTTCCATACCGAGATAACAAGGGTTAGCCTTTTGTGTTATCCCGTCATGCCTCGGAATTCGGAAAGCTGGAAAAAACGGGATATGTTCGACAGTCGGCGGCTGTGTGTGGTGGAGGAAATGAACAGAGTAGTTGTGATGGTGGTGGTGGCAGTAGTGGTGGGAGGAGGATGGAGGGGTAAAGCGGGATATGGAACAGGTCACGCTCGTGAGCTGACACAACAGACGGCGGTTGGGGGGCGTGGAGGGGTTGGTTTTTCTTCGGGACAAACGACCTGATCCAAAAAGGTTGAATATCTTGGTAGCAAAGACGAGTCGGGGGATGCAGAGAGCAAAGGAGATTCAACTAACTCTGGTCGGGCCTTTGGGATGTGCAGGAGGATTGTGGTGAGGTGAAGTGAGTTAGATGGGTACTCAGGCAAGGTAGGTGACGGGACGTCGTCAAAGGCTATTTCCTCGGGTGCGTCGTCAGGGTCGGTCGGCGGCAGGTGTTGCCTGTGGCCCTGTACCTGTCTGCCTGGCCAAGCTTACCGAGAAGGTGCTCGATGCTGCGTACTTGCCAGCTGGTGTTGCCTTGCGGAAGGAAATGGCCAACGCGGGGTGGGGAAATGGTAAGGGACAGGAAGGGATAGGACGAGATGGGACGAGATGGCGGTCGGTTTATCGGAGGTGACTATGACTTGGAGACGTCACGCGGCTGCCGCTATCGAGAAGTTGCGACAAAGATAAGGAACAAGGTACAGTCTACTAACCAGATGGCGTTGCTCACATTTGGTCCTAGCCGTCAAAGCGTCTGCGCGCCGGGGGGTTGAATTTGGTGGATTCCCTCGAGGATGGGAGGATATTGATCGTTGTGGAAGATAAGCTGAATGCTGTCTGAGGGAGACCAAAAAGAAGGCGATGAGAAGTGAAGGAAGGAAAGATGTGGTGGTGGAAGAATCCAATATGACAGTTTGCATCGGAATGGATGGATGCACCTGAAGGATGGTGGGTGGTGCGGAGAGAGACATTCAGGTCGGGCGCACCATCAAGAGGCAGAAAGGCAGCCGAAAAGGCGACGGGACGGCAGGCAAGATACGACCAGGCGGTCCAGGAAGGTACCTACCTTCCTTCTTTTACCATACCGGACCTCATATCCTGCCTCACCATTCACAGTCTTTGAGCGGGCAGCTGCCACCAATTCAACTGGCAAGAACTGTCAAGCGCCAAAGCTGAGATAAGTGCACAATTCCTTCTTGCCTACCTTACCTCTTTACTAGCTTAACTCATGTAAAGTACCCTGAGCTGGCAGCCATATCACCCAACAGCCATCGGCCAGGCGCATCTCATGTGCTTGTTGGAGGTGGGGGCGGGGTCCATTTAGGACCGAGTGAAGGCGCAACATATGGCGTTCATTTCACCTTGAAGAGCCACACCTGACATTCGTAAACGGAGTATGCGTCACTCGCTCCGGGGCCTGGATAGCTTGCGTTCAAATGGAATGTCACTGGCAACTGCCCCCGCCCACTTTGATTGCAGCTTGTTACTGTGTACAGCAGATCCGCATCATTGTGCCTCTTATCGATAACAACCCGGGGGAAATCGGTGCCAGCTGCAACTTGCACCGCGCACCGCGCACCGCTGCGACCTGTCATGGTGGGGTTCCTACCGCTACCTTATCCACTCGCCCACCATCACCCCGCCTGGAACCTCCGCTCGTGGTTCCAACACCCGACTTTGGGCCTAGAGGTACCCTTAGCTCTAACCTCTACGGGCCTCGAGTGGCATCTTGACGGAGGAAGATCCGCTCACCTCCCAACATCACCTCTTAGCTTCGTTTCCGCTTGGATTAGGTCCTATTTGGGCTTCACTTGGGCCGAATGTCTGGACTGCTCTTTCGCCGGGCATACTTATTCGGTATCTTCGAGACCCATGACAGGTCGTTTTCATGGTTCTTGCGACGGCACATCTTCCAGCCGCTTCAGGCGCAAAATCTTGAACCACTTCATCCCCCCTCCACCTAGGCCGAAGCAAGGTACCAACTCAAACGTCCAAGTCGTCCAATGTGGAAAGCTCAAGTGACTTCGGCCCGCTTACAGCATAAGAAAAGGGCCAAACAGGTTCGCCATGTACCACGACCCGACGCCTCACAACAAAATCCAATAATTGCGTGAAAAATCCAGTCACTGCGGCAGGGCAAGAAAGCTTCAACTTCGACCTTGGGTGCGCGAGGCCCGCAATGTCTCCCGAATGTTTCACATTTTTGCCGTCTTTCTTGTCTTCCCATCGAAGCTCGGCGGGGATGCTGCGACTAAGAATCCCATGTCTTAGCCGATGAAAAGGGTGTGTGGCTGCAATGCTATTTGAATGTGGCTCTTGCGTCAGGACTGATAAGTGGCGGTGCAAATTCAAGATCCGCTTCCTCGGTCCTCTGAACTAGCCAGGTATCATTTCTGATGTGAGTGTGAGAAGTCAAGGGGATTATAGATGTTATCACAGCCATTACACCATGATAATTTCGAAGCCAAGGCACTTTGGATTAAATTTGCCAGAGTTTGCGATTGATATGGAAAACCAAAAATAACCATGCAAGTCTAGATGTTCTAGAGTTCGTCGCCATCTTGGTCAACATCGTCTCACGGAAAAGGCAAGCCTTCCAACGCTCGCCAACTACTTTGACAGCTTGTTGCCAGCAGTCACCGGACCTAGAACGCCCATCGTGAGACTAATTTAAAAACCTATCACTCGAGTTTGTACATTATCGTCAAACCTGCATTTTCTGCACCTAGTATAAACAGGAGCCTGGAGCCTACACTATGTGGCACATCATTTCTAAAACGCTGAAATCTAAGCCCTGGCTTGAAGGTCGCTGTACGAGAGTTTTTGCGCTTTACATAAGTACTCAAGCCGCACAACGTATTCGAGAAATACTGTTCCGGAGCCCGGTAGACAAACGAGGGCACACTACGTCTTCAGCCTGTATGCGTGCAAATGCCAAGTTCATGTCAGCTAGGGCGACAAACAGGACGTATCAATTCGCCTTGATAAGTTGGTTTAAGACCGACCAGCAACGCAAGGGACATACGCACACCCATGCACGGTAAACCCTCATGAATACTGTCTTCAATTTTCAACAGGTGAATCGAAAAGAGAATGGAGCAAATTGCAGAGAAAAGAAAAATGAGTGAACAGAAGAGGTTTAACTCGAAACCTGTGCAATCCGAAATACTCTTCACCTGAAGCAAAGAGCAAACGGGCTCTCGGAAAGCAAACCAGTAGTGCCAGTCAATCAGCCAGCTCCCTACCCCAGCCCCCCCTTCCCCGGGCCAGAACACGTTGCCGGGATTTTCGTTCCCCGGCCTCGTGGTTTGTGGTTCCTATGAAACAACAACGGCTCTGAAATGGTGAACAGGGGGGTGGACGTCGATGGGAGGGTACAGCACACAAAGGGGGAGAGTGAGACTGGACAATTGAGAGCTGTGCTATTTGTGCTATAACCCCAGGATTACAGACAGTAACAAAATCGCAATCTCCTACTGTTGGCGCGCATGTGTCTCCTCATTCTTGCCTTACTAAACGAATTTGAACCCCTTACCATCAAACCCCTGGTTTTGCTGGAGATCACTCAAAAACACACAGACTGTCCGTATGGATACCACACCGTACGGACAGACACAAAAGCTCCAATTCTTTTTGTCTTTGCTGATCCAATCTTAGAAAGTCCCCCCTCCCCCGTTTAACCCATATACTGGGACAGAATCCTCCCGCAATCTGCCTTGAAATCTCAACAAGTCCCGAAGGAGAAAATCCACCGAGTTCCTTGTCCTTGTTCTTGTCCACGCCTCCCCTCCAGCCCTAGGAGGCTGTCATCATGGGATCGGTTCCTTTCGTGGACGGATTAAGTCCAGTATGGGCGACGGCTTTGACATCGAAGGGACGCATGTGTATCTAGGGGTGGGACAAACGCGATCCTTAAAACGATGAATATGCAATGTAACCTTTCATTTTACCGACATCAATGCAATCACGAGCAGCACGTCCGCATTATTTGTGCGAAATTGTTGAACAGAGTCCACGTGGACATGATAATTCTACATGGAATCGGTAAAAGTTGGGAATCCAGCCTACAGTCCCTAGATGCCATTGCTGCATGATGTTGCATTTTTATATTCCCAAACCCACAGCCAGTACGTTTCTTGCATGATAAACCGACATATCGGGTATGAATCTCCCCTTCATCATTACAGAAACAAGAAAACCCGGAAGGAAAGACCAAGGGTCTATCACCGTCTTCCCCCAAGGTGACGAGAATGAATATTCCAGAGAAAACTCCGCTCCACAAACCAAAAGTCCGGACGAGAGAGGAGACAACTGAATGCGCAATGAACATGGTGTAAAACGAACAAAAAATAAGGGAACCGTTATGCTCGCGGAATAGAACGCGCTGCAAAATGGGGGTATCGTAACAGAGGAGATGAGGTTGTTTTTGCGTTTGATGAGTGCTGTTTGTGACCGTGTTTGTATCATAAAATGTCGTGCTTCTGGAAAAGCCGTGCCAACGTGTCGGTACCAAACATCTCATCGTCGGGAATCATCTCAATGATGCCTGTGAGGTTGGCGATCATGTCACCCTGGTTGCGGTACGCCAGAATTGCAGGCACGGCGGCATTGTCGAACTCAATGTCAAGGTAGTGTACCTTGACAAAGTGTATTGTTGAGTGCTGCGAAACAAGAGGCATCATGGCATGCTCTATTGTCGCCGAAACGTCACACTGGAAGTCTCGTTAGTACACACAAAACTGGGAATGACAGACCAATGGGACTCACCTCTGGGTCATAGACAAAGACGACAACAACAGTGTCCCGCGCAACCTTCTCGATGGCATCAAGGTAGCCCAAGGCGTCCACCTCATCCAGACGTCCGTAAATTCGCACACTAGGACTTGTTCTCCGGTTCCGGATGACCTTGTTAGAGTCGCTCTCGAGTTCTCTTCGGCGGCTCTCGCGCCATTGCTGCATGAAGCTGTCGTCAGAGTCGCTGCCGTTTCCCTCGTCCGTCTCGCTTTCGCTCTTGTGTGATGGTGGCGGCTGCGAGCTGATGTTGTCGAGGCCAAAGATGGAGCGCCTCACTGTGGTGCGCGCGCGGCTCATGAAGGAGGTTTTGCGAGCGTTCTCATAGTTGCGGGCATCGGCGATGACGCCCTTGACACCAGTGGTACGACCTGCATCGAAGCTAGCTGGGGGCAGCTTCAGGTCGGAGCCGGTCTGACCAAGAGATGGCATACGCATGGCGGCGTCGATCTGGGAGTTGCGATATCTCTCTTCCTCGTCGAGGTCAAGGCTGTCTTGTTCGCGACGGTCGTGATCTCGGTCTTCGGGATGTACTTTGCTGTCGTCACGGGAGTTTGCTGCTAGCAGAGCGTTGAATTCTTCCTGGGCTGGGGTAGGGTTCGACATCGTGAACGTCGTGTGGCGCGGCCGGGGAGGGGGAGCTTGGTTTATGTATAGGACAATGGGCGGAGGAGCGGGTGGGCGTGTGGTCAGAGGGAGGAGGTTGCTGTCCGGGGGTGTTGTCAAGAAGGAGTAAACAAGCAGGTTGTGAAGAGTTGGCAATCGTGCGACGTTGAGCTTGGAGGGGTGTGCCCGGTTGTTCTGTCAGGGCGTCTAGTCGAGCAAGCAAAAGACTTGTTCAGACAAGGACAGGATGGGCAGCGCAATTGGTGGTGGAAGAGGCTGGAGAGGAGAGGACGGACGGACGGTGGGAGGCGAAGCAGAGATGACTGGGAGTTGGATCGGAAGGATGGAGGCCCTTCGATGGATTTTCTCGAAGCAGTGGAGTCGTAGCCAGGGGTCGACCCTTGCGTGGACCACGATGCGGTGAAAGCCGGGCCCCAGTGGTGCAGTGGATAGTGAAGAGTCAACAGACTGGCGCGGTGTGTGAGTGGTACGAGATGTGCGCAAAAGGGCAAAAGGGGGGGCTCGAGGGTCGAGGATCGAGGGTCGACGTGGAAGCCCCTGGGGTGCGTCAGGCTGTTTCAGAAGCGGCGGAGGCGCGTGGTTGCGAACAGGGGAGACTGGACGGCAAAGTGTGGATGAATGGTACGGAGTAGAGGCCTTGAGAGGTATTCGTGGGTTGTGTGGTTGTTCGGGGGTATTGGGGGGTTAGTGACGGGTCCAGGTGAGATCTGGTTGCGGTAAGAGGTATGTAGTCCGCGATGTTAAGACGAGGATGCGGGAGTTGATGATCGTTTGCGGGCGCAAAGACGCTGGAACGCTTGCACGGCAAGACCGGACAATTTCATTCCAGCTTTGCAACTTGATTGAGCTGCCCACCCCCGTCCAGGCCCCGGTTCCCGATGTCGATGAATGTGGGCGAGTCAACTTGCAATGCAAGGAAGGACACGAATGCCGAACTGGGACGTACAGATGACGGAACAGAGAGGCCAGCCACGATGGTGTCGTCACGCATTGAGGATACCGGCGACGTGGAGGCCGAGAGAAGGGGCAGAAAGGAAAAGTGGGACTTTCTACACCTTCCACATAGGTAGTAATACGGAGTACGGAGTACCTTACGAAAGTACATTCCGGTAAGGTAACACAGTAAATAGTTGTATGGAGGCAGGTGCTAGGCAATGAAAGCCAGGGCAGGGAAAGAAGGGAGGCGGCTGTGAAAGAAAACTGCAACTGCAACCTGACTGGAAATCAAATGCAACTGCCAAATGCAACTGCATCTGCAACTGCAATGTGCGAAGTAAGGTACGCCAGTTTGCAATGTACCTATTTTCCTGTCTGTCTGGCGTCTGCATGCTCCTTCCGATAAAGTTGTAAGTTATGTAGGTAAGAATGCAAAGTTGGGCAAATTACCACCATTTCCCTTGCCGCAAACCAACGGCCAACGCGCAAACCTTCCATAGGCTGCAGTCCAAATAAATCTTTGCCAAAGTTCCGCCGTCTCAAACTAACCCTCATCCAGACTACCCTTCTCACCTTACCCCAAGGTACGAACCTGTTACCTTGCGATGGCAAGAGCTTGGTCGAAAAGGGGCCGGTTTGATAAGACTCCTATCTACCTACTACTGCATACACAGTAACGGTGCTCTTACGGAGCAGAGCAGAGAAAGGGTGAAGAACCACAACATCCGTTCTTCAGCACCACACCCTCTTGCTTTTCCTCTGCCCGCGTGGCTTTGCTGGGATCATGGTGCTTGTCAGGACCATTCGACCCATCTCTGCCCATTTTCTCTCCTTTTTGCATCGTCGTCACTCCACGCTGGTCCAATCAATGCCAACCAGAGCGGAGGTGGGGGGCAATTCGGGACCTTGCAGATAGGATGCACGCTGCACGTCGATGAGTTGGCTGAGCCGCTTTCTAATTCAACTTTCTTTCTCTAATTGTTATTCCTACACAACAAATCCCCCCTGCCCCGTCGGCCCGTTGGAGACATCACGCAGTTGACCTTTTGCTCCGACTCTCGAGCAATAAACGGGCCGGTCACAAGGAATGGCGCCGAAGCCTCGCCAAGACTTCCAAAGTTGGCGAGCGTGATGAAGAAACAAACACCGCTATTCCTCGTGTTAGGCTGTCTGTGGGTTGACGAGTAGACCCAAATTTGGCTCAACACACACAATGTACCAACCACGATTGGGAAGACGTCTCGAAACTGACTTTTCTCCAGTGCTCTTGAGTTGGCAAGTGCCTCGTATTACCTCGCACATTCTTCTACAAGTCCTCCAACGGTTGCTTCAACTTCCATACGTAGTAGGCGGAGTATCCGTATGGGCCATCGGCTTTCGCTTCCTCGGGTTCCTCGAAACCGTCTCTTTCGCTTTTCTTTCCAAATTCCTCCTTACTCGAGGCGCTCCAATTTGCAACTGCGCCTGTGCTCGCATTTCTAACCCTCCTGCCTCAGACATTATGTCTCATTTCGGCTAGTACGAGTCGTTGCGCCTTACCAGGCCAGTGCGGGAGGACCCTGCATCGGAGATGGTGCTGCAACTGGCAATCATTTGTCTAGAGAAAGAGATTGATACCGCTGGGCAGCGACGTCCCTTGCTTTGGTGTCTATTCGTGAGTGTCTCGCATCAAGACACAATATCTCACGTCCAACTTCTTCACCACACCTCCAAGCCCCAGACTCAATCCGTAATCGGTCCAGCCGAACCGCAAACCCGCCATCAAAGCCTGAGAGACAATGGCAATTCGCAGCGCGTCGCTGGGAGATATGCGGGTAGTCTCAGCAGGATACCAGATCGAGCCACTCTATGACCTTCACACTGCACAATGATCCACGACAACCTCTCCATGGGAGTGCAATGATTCACGCACATCTCCTTTGGCAGCCGATGCAAACTTGGACTGCCTGAGACCGTAAGAATCTACCTCGCCCGGGAAAGATGCCTTGCTGACCCAGTAATAGATCACGACGCCATCATCCCACTGCACGATGGCATTGTCCACCTTTCATCATCCCGTTTGCCAAAACAGAAGGACCCCCAAACAGGGCACAGCAGTCTCACCATCAGCTCCAGAGATCTCTAACAGTGACATGCGCTTATCGTCATATTTTGCCCAGTTTGATCGTCCGAAAGTCACCGTTTGCCTTCGTTCCCTGGTCTGGTTGGATCTTTGGTCGAGGCTTGGCCACGGCGTCGTGTGACCGCACTTGTCGGTGCTCCCCAGTCAATGCGGATGGAGGCTTGAGACGAGCGGAGTCTTTCGTCCACTACACATCATCGACTTGTCAATGGGGCATCTCCCATTGTTCTCGGATCGGCAGATTGGCTGATTCATCTCGACTTGAGCTTACGGACTAGCCATCATCCATGGTTCTCGGTGGTCATAGATGGTGTCGTCTGTATACTTTGCTATCCTCTTGGGATGTTCGGTTCCCAGCACTACCAATACTAACGGCATGGCAACTTAAGTAATCATGACCGTTGACTAGTCCGCGGTTGGCCACGTTCATTCTCAAGCAACAGCTATGGGTCTTCATGCCACGCATTGCATGGCTTTCCAAACTCGCATGAAGAGGCCTCACGATGTGTCCAAACATGAGTCACCTTCTCCGCCCCGGATACGCCGTTTCATGCCTCACGACAGACATTTTGTGGACACGATGTCGCGCGTGGTTAACCCAGAACCACGGCCCCCGATGCTACTCGTGCATTGCTGACTTATCATCCGATTCCATCTTCAAGACTCCAGCCACCTAAACACTTCGGAACACGACTCAGTGACGGCAGCGAACTACGCAAGTCAAACTTTCTAGCGTACCATTCGTCGTTGACAGCAAATCCTGGCGGAAATCTATTCAAAACAATTCCCGAGAGCGATGTCGCTCGTCACAAGACTTGACAGGGGATATGTGCATTCCAACAAGATGCAAATTCTTTCTGTATCTACCCGCGGGTTTCATGACTTTGTTTCACGGAATAGACTTGCATTCAACGGTTAAAACAACCCCTCCATAAGCAGTAAGGATCAGGAAACGAAGCATCCAGAAATTGTTGCCAAGGAGACTCCTTGTCCAGGTTCCTCTATCTCAGTCTATTGTCACTGATCAACATTGTTGGCAGTGCGACATTTGAAGCCAGGGTTCTCACAGCAAGTAGAACATTTTTCATACTGTTGATACGAGGAGCAAAGCGTCTTGCAGCTTGTACATTTACGCTTGGTTTTGTTCGTTGACTCTCAAACTCCAAACTTGGCTTCTGCGCCTCGACACGCCGCCGGCTGCACGCTGCCGGCACTATGCCGCTGCACATCCTCTAGTCGTTATCCGATCGCAATGGCCTGACATCTGCATATCCTCGATCACAAGAAGGGGGAAGAAGTCGAGGAGTGAACGTTGACCGTATTAGATTCCGCCAGCGAGTCGTAGAGTTCTGTCAAACACGTTGCCTCCTCCTCCGACGCTTATACAGTATGCATTCCACCGGGTCAAAGGAAGATCGACCAAGACGGAGAAAGATATCATCCAAGACGCCAATGCGGTTCAACGGTGACCACTACATACACAGTTGGCATCGAAGCATTCCATCTACCCATGCCTCGTGGCTACCAGGATCTCTCCATCCACAAGCGCATCGAGTTTTCCAAGTATAACTCAAAACATAGGGCGTCAGCCACCAAATCCTTCTTCTTTTCCCTTCTCTTCCTCCCTTCCCCGGGCCTGCCCCCTAACTCCTTTTGCAATAGCCGGGAGCCACGTCGGATTGTAGCCAAAACGATCTACAACGCCCGCGGCTGGACATCTTCGGCCCATCGTCGTGGTAGATTTCCTACTGCGTGCTTTTGAATTTTTGGGCGTTTCTCCAGAGATTCTCATCGTCTGTGCTGAGAACGATCTTGTTTCCAATTTCGAAAGCCCATCGCAAAAACTTCGAGAAGCTCTTTGCTTCGACGCCACATGCATAGAAGGCAGCTCATAGCCTTCCTCCGCCTTCTCCCCCGCAAG